TCGCCCCCAACACCTGCTGGCGGCCGGGCCCCCCAAGTGCATGTCCATCACAGACCACACACCGCATGTCTGGGTGCCAGCAACCCCACACCCCAGAGTGGGCCGCCAGCTGTCCAAGACCCACCGCCTCCAGCCCCCACAGGCACCGGAGGGCCGAGCGCGGCCGGGACCTGCTCGCACTGTGTCTCGTGCCCCCCCGCTCGCCGCAGCCCCAGATGGGCCCCAGCAAGCAGCATGGCTTTCCCGTCAGGACCAGGGCTGGCGAGGCAAACAGCTCCCCTGAGCGGCTGCGGCAGCCAGGCCCGGGCGGCTCACCTTGAGCTGGTTGGAGGAGTCGTAGCGCACCCGCTGCCGGCTCTTGTTCACCTTGCTCATCAGCATCTTGCCGGTGCGGAAGTCGAAGGTGCTCAGGTCCATGGAGCCCCCCAGGTACCGCGCCAGCTGTGGCTTGCTCCGGAACTTCTTCCCGCTCGGGCTGCACGGAGACGGGGGTTAGCAGCGGGCGGGGCGCTGGATCCCCAACTGTACCCCCGCCTTGGGGTCGAGAGCAGGGGTGAATACTGACCACGGAAGGGTGGGCCTGGCCCTGGCAGCCTAACACTTCCAGAACATTCCAGAAATGGAATTGGGCTGTACTCTTAAGGACTCAAGATAGCAGGTACTTGAGGGACAACTCCCAAGAGCAGTGTCCTCCTGGAAACAGCACCAGGAAGGGGTGTCCTGGGGTTAACCTGGAAGATCTTATGTGAAGGCTCAGGGCCAGGCCTCAAACAGCTGGTGCACACGCACTAGTGGGAGGCTCGAATGGGCGCCCAGTCCTGGCTGACGCCGGCAAGCCTGCCCCTCACAGCCACGTCTGTCCACGGCCGCTGTGCGCTGTGGACCGGCTCCCTCCGCCGGCGCCGCTGGAAGAGCTCCGGGTGGGAATGGACCGCAGCAGTCACTGGGGAGCTACTCCCCACACCAGAGATAGCAATCCCACCCCGGTGCCAGCCCGGGAGGCCCGAACACAGGTCCCTGCAGACACTTGTGCAGCAGCACGGTTCGTGACCAAGAGCTGCCCGCGTGCCCACCACCCAGTGGACAGACCTGCGCAGCGACATACGACACTCACGCGGCCCCTCGGGCACAGCAGGGATGCGCGGGGCCTGAGCGCACGATGCCCGGGACAGAAGCTGGACACACAGGCCACGCAGCGAGTCCACCGGCGAGAACCGTCTGGGCCGGGCACAGCCTCGAGGGCGGGCCTGTGACGCCAGGGGCTGTGGGCACTGCCCACGACGGCGGAGACCCGCCTACAAACCAGAGGCGCGTGGTGTGGGGTCAGTGCCGCCGCCTGTGGCTGCAGCCCCAGGCCGTCTGAGGCTCCCGGGCAACAGCAGTCCCTGCCGGCGAAGGCCTCAGTGTGACTGTGGCGTGGGTGGGTTTTGATCTCCTGACCACCTCTGAACAAGCCCTGATTTGAGTGATCACGTCTGACACTCCCGATGTCCCACACAGGGCAGGAAAAGGGAACCCCTCAGGCCCCCCCACAGTGGTGCAACAGGTTAAAGGCAGCACCATGAAAGCTGCAGCAGCAAGTGCGTTTGGTCCTGCCCCGGAGTGACCCACAGGGCGCAGCAGACCTCTCCTGACC